GCTTAAGCAGCAGAAGGGAACCATCAGCAACAGAAAGATGCTGCAAATGTAATTCGAGGGGGCCAAATTCCAAGCCCAGTAAGTTGTAGAACTTGGCAGATTCAACTATGTGATTTTGGCATTAGAGTCAAGAGTACAAGAAAGGGGCTGTGGAATCTTCCTCCATGGCTAAGGGAAGCTACCAAGATCAGGCATATGTCGGGTATTTTTGCATTGAGGCCCAGGAAGGCCACCCTGTGAAGGTGAAACCTGGATTTTGTTGGAGACCCTAAGATGTTAGAGATGCCAGACTCATAGGATAGCAGTGATGGAAAACTGCTGTGTGGAACTAGCCCAAGAGAGAGAAGTATGTTGCAGTTAACAAAGTTGAAAGGACTTGGAAATCTGAAGAGTGCTTTGACATCAGATATAGAAATGCAGAACTTTGACATCAGATATAGAAATGCAGAGTTCTTCTGGGTTTTGGCTTTGCATTTGGTCCGGTATTTCCTCACTATGTTCCCTTTCCTCCCTTTTGGAATGGTAATGTTTATTCTGTGCTATTGTATGTTGGAAGTATGTGATCTGTTTTTGATTTTGGTTTTACAAGGATTACAGTAAAGAGATTGCCTTGGTTCCCAGAAGAGAATTTGAACTTTGAACTTTTAAGCAATGTTGAGACTGTGATAAACTGTGGGAACTTTTGAAGGTAAAATAAAAGCATTTTTGAATTATGATATGGCTATTCGACTATGGGGGTGAGGGAAGAGAATGTGGTGGTTTGAATAAGAATGACCCTCATAGGCTCCTCTTTGTAATGATTACTCACCAGGAAGTGATGGTATTTGAAAGGATTAGGAGGTGTGACCTTGTTAGAGGAAGTATTTCAGTGGTAGTAGCTTTGAGGTTTCAAAAGCCAATGCCATGCCCAGACTCTCTCTGCTTGTAGATCAGGATGTCAGCTACTCCTGACAGGACCCCACCTGCCTGAAGCCATAGTTTCTGATATAATGAAACCATAATCAAGCCCACAATCAAATGCTATCTTTTTAAAGAATTGCCGTAGTCACCAGATGGTGGTGGCACATGCGTTTAATCCCAGCACTTGGGAGGCAGAGGCAGGCAGATCTCTGTGATTTTGAGGCCAGCCTGGTCTACAGAGTAAGTTCCTTGATGGTCAAGAGCTACACAGAGAAACTATCTTGAAAAATAAAATAAAACAATAGTAATAAAAAAGAATCACCTTGGTCATGGTGTCTCTTCAGAGCAATAGAACAATAAGAGTTTGATACTTATATCTGTACTTCAGAAATGAGATGGCAAAGGAGATAAATGCACACAGGTGAGGACATATGTGGGTAAATGGGTCACATATGCCTACCATAGTACATCTGTTAAGGTCAGAGGACAATTTACAGTAATTGGTCCTTGGGATCAAACTCATTGTCAGGCTTGGGGGTAAGCACATTTATTCACTGGGCCATCTAACCTGCCCAGGAGTGATTTTTTAAGGGCAGCAATACCTGTTTAACTGGCTCCTTGAGAGATGACAGGATGTCTGGGAGTGGTGAAAAAATACGGCCAGCAGAAGAGGTAGGGTTAACCTAGAATGTAAACAACTTAAAAGCTGAGACCCCTGGTTTGAGTGTCTCCTACTCTGCTTGAGAAAAGTCATTTTCCATTTGCCAGAGTAGTTTCCTTCCCTGTAGCCTGCAAATGTCATTTTTGTAATGCTCTTCCCTGTGGTCATGATTATTAAAACTTGACTGCACCCTGGAAATAAAATAAGAACTTTATTACTATTGATGTCTGGATTCCAAATCCAAATATTCAGATTATCTGGTCTAGGGTCAAAAGCTGGGACCAAGTGTTCAAACGCAAGAGCATGTGGATGACATGTACCTTTCCAGCTATAAGGCAGCCCCTAAGGGGCTCGTGGACATCTCTGTGTTAATTTTCTTATTGTTGTGACAAAAATAACAGGAACAACTAAATGGAGGAAACATTTTGGCTCACAGTTTGAGAGATTTCAGTCCATCAAGGCAAGGAGGGCACAATAGCAGGAGTGGTTTTGTCCAACGTAATGGGACTGTGAGATGAAGCTACCAGATCAGGAAGCAGAAAAGAGATAGACAACACCAGGAGTAAGTAATTAAACTTCAGAGGCCTGCCTTTGAACTTCACTAGTCATGTTTAACCTCTGCAGCCTTCAAAAAGTACCACTAGCCAGAGAACAAATGCTCAAAACACATGCCTGAGAGGGACAAGTCAGAGTCAATCATAACTTCATATGTCAGTGACTATGCTATGTCCCTTGTATATATATTCTCAGTTAATCATTACAACTGTATAAATGTTATTATTCCATTTACAGGTTCAAAACAGAAGAGAACAGATTACTTACAAGATCAAGTACTGATATACTGAATCGGTTGAACAATTCAAAACAACTGGCTGTAAAGTCTAGAGAACACCACAAAATGAGTGCATCAAGTCAGATTAACTGCAGAGCAATTCTTTTTTCCCAAACCCCTCTCGCTATGCTGAGAATCAACCCATGACCTCAGGAAGGATAGGCAAGTGCTGTACTGCTAAATTACATCCCCATCCCAAAAGAAAACATCTACTCAGCTACATTTGCCCTATGGGAATTTCAAGGTCATATTTTAAGATTAAAAAACAAAAATGGAAAAAAATTTTTATATAATCTCTTAATATTTCAGTATCAAGTTACTTAAACTATTATGTGGCTCAAACCAAATAAGGCTACACGTTTGCTTCTCTGATCAATAGGATGTTAGCAATTTAGGAGAGCTCTGACTTCAGCTACATGATTAGGGAATCGTTAAGCAGACATGATAGTAGTGTATGCTGGAACAGTAACCAGTGAGGTGAGTGGTACAGGAATTCCAGGCACAGACAACACTTAAAAAGCTAAGGCAAGATGATACCAAATTTGAGGCCATCCTGAGCTACATGGTAAGAGCTCAAAAAAACAAAAATAATACATGATTAAAAACAATGTGAAAATATATTAACAAGGCAAGACTCTTAGCAGTTTTCCAGACTAACTAGAAATGAATAAACATATTCTCTGTGAGTTCGAGGCTAGTCTGTCTACAAAGCAAGTCTAGAACAGCCAGGGCTACACAGAGAAACCCTGTCTTGAAAAAAAATAAACAACAACAAAAGGCTGTTTGGTTACATTTAAAATCCAGTTATTTGAAATTTTATACATCCATGATGGAAACTTCAAATTTGTGAATTCTTATTTCTGACTGAAAGTAGATTTTTTCCCTTTGTTTTTTGTTTTACCTTGATTTACTCTGTCAGCTCAGCACCTCATATGCCTGCGTAACTGCAAAAACTCATAGCAGAGTTTTACAATTTGCAAAGATTCAATAATTTTTAAAAATATTGTGTGTGCATGTATGTTTAGCATAAATGTAGAAAGAGGTGAACCATATGGGTCCTGGAGATTGAACTCCGTCCTCAGGCATGTCAGCAAGTGCCTTTACCATCTTGCTGACTTCTTTTTTAAAAAAAATCATTAAATTCAAGTTCCTTATTTTACAGGCTTCCATGTTTTAGGGCCGAGTGACCATCCTTTGACAAATACACTAGTAGTGAGTATGGTGTTTTTGACCACTGTTTCTACCAAACAGATGCCTTCAGTAGATCATGAGGAATATAAACCATTTCACATTATATATTTCTACAAGTTATAAAGTGTTATAGAAGTTATACAAAGTGAAATCTCTTGTATTCACACGTAACTAATCTCAAAACTGAAAAATTGCTTTTTCCAGTTTTTAAGTGAATTTTATTTAGTAGCATTAATTCTATAGCAAAGATATAAGAATGATGGAATTGCATTAAAAACCTTCAAAGCCACACTATCCTATTATCAGACTTAAATATTAAGGAGAGTACAATTCTCTGCTGAAAATTCTATTTAAGGAGTAGGTCTTTCAGCACCGAAACAAATCAAGTTAAGTTTGGTTTGTTTGTTTTTTTTTAAATCCAACTCTTGGGAATTCCAAACCATGACTGTTAAAAACAGGGTTTTGTTTTGTTTTTGGTTTGGTTACCCGTTGTATCAAAATATGCATGCTAAAAACAGAGATGGGACATTTCTGTTGTTTACATACCTTCATTTTTGGAAAGCTAAAATGTCGCGAACAGTGGAACACAGACATAAAACCCATCTTTTAAAAATAGCACCTGGAGTATAAATAGTTTAAACTATCACCTTTGAAATGCTTCATTTTTCTATATAGCCCTTAAGTAAAATTTTTAAAAAGATGAAAAACACTGTGCGGCCCGTCTTTTAACTTTTAAAAAAAACAAAAAAACTTAAAAACGCGTTTGCAATTTAAAATCTTCCAAATGCCCGCGCTCTGCAAACACTCTCTAGCCAGCCTAGCGGGATGACAGCAGGCCGAGCAGTCTTTGAGGAAAAGCTGCCTCTAGCCTGGGGTACAAAGCAACCCCCTTTGATCCTTCTCTCATTCTTCTGCAGATGGAGGACCGACAAACAACGCTCTCCTTTAGAGGGGTACACACGTCCCTCTCCTCAGCTAAGCTCCCAGACGCCAGACCCAGGACAGGCCGCGAGGCCACGAGGAGCTCTCGGGGAGCCAGGCCCGGGCGGGTCAGGGAGGCGAGGCGAGGCGAGGCGAGGCGAGGGGTCTTCCGGGCAGGCGTGAGGCCCGGACTCCGAACAAAGCTCCGGCCCAGGAAGAGCAGGCCGCCCCGCGACGCACGCTCACGGGGCTCCGGCGCTACGCGAGAGCCGCAGCGCGCCGGGCGGCCGCCTTTACGCCACTGGCTTGGCCCCAGAGCCTTCGCGAATATGTCTTTGCGCACTGCGGCGGGGCTGCGCTGCAACCGAGCTTGCCCGGTGGCTCCTCCCCGCCGCCCTGCGCGGATTGGTGGCGGACGGAAGCCCGGCTGCTGATTGGATAGCGAAGGAGCCACTCGGGGAGACTCTGGTGGGTCGGCCGCCCCAGAGTGATAAGTTCGGCTTCAGACACGCCTCAGAGCCAGCAGCGAGCCGGACTCTATGGAGGTGGCGGCGGGTACCAGGTGGTGGCTGCAGCAGCGACTCCTCTGAGCTGAGAGCTTCAGGCCGACCCCGTCTCCTTCCTCCCCCTTCCCTCCCCCTTTTTTGTTTTCCGTTCCCTTCCCCCTCCCTTCCCCGTCCCCGACGACCGGATCCAGAGGAGGCAGCTGCGGCGGCAGCTGCTGAGTTCTCGGTGAAGGTGAGTGGAGTCTCGGCCGCCGCCGAGCGGAGCCCTCTAAGATGGCCGCCGCCCCTGGCCGCTTCTTGTCGAGTGGTACAAAATGGCGGCCGCAGGCGGAGCCGGGCGGGGCGGCCTTCCCTCTACCTCTGGGCCACCGAGAAGTCCCCGGCCTCTGCTTTCCTTCGCGTGCCGACCGAGGAGAGGGGAATCGCGGTCCGGGCTAGACCGGCGTGCGGCCGAGGCGGGCGCGGCCGGAACCCAGACGCGGGGTCCGAGACAGCGTGCGAGCGCGGCAGGCCTCGCGCCTCGGCGGGCGGCAGGGACGCGGCCCGCGGCAGGGCCCGGCCGTTGGCGCGGGACCAGCGAGGCGGACGAGTCCGGAGCCCGGCCTCCCGGCGGGGAGGAGGTGTGTGGGGCCTGCCGCGCCCGGGAGAGGCGGAGGACGGGTCTCCGGCCCCCTTTGTGGCCGTGGCAGCCGAGCGCTGTCAGCCGCGGGATTTATGGTGGAGGCGGCGGGCAGGCAGGAGGCCGCCTTCCTGCGGGAGAACAAAGGGCCGGCCCGGAGGGGGCGCCTCCCGCCCAGGCCTGGGCCCTCGCTAGGCCCCTGTCGGAAGCCGGGCCCGACCGGGCCTGGGGGAGGAACCCGCTGCTCTTTTGTTCGCGCGGAGTGGGGCGGAGGTTCCTGCTGCCATGTTGGGGCCCCGGCCTTCCGGCCGCTTTCCACACGCGCCCAGTGGGAAGGGGTGAAAGGACGAGCGGAGGAGAAAGCTGTCCTACAGCGGGTAATGAGGCTCTGGCCGGCCTGTCACCACCCAGACCGCACATATTAGTACAGCAGACATTTTCCTGTAGCACCGCCGGCGCTTATAGCGTTTCTGTTGTTTTGAAGGTCCCATAATATGGCTGCGTTCTAGGCAGTATCCAGATGTTTTTGTATTTTTTTTCCACCAAAGCTGTCTTTGCATCCTTGAACACTCGGGGAATCCCACGTGGCTAAACAAGATTTTACCGTGAATTTGTGGTTTTGGCTTTGTTCTGTTTCGGTCTTGAGGGCTGCAGTGCAGTGAAAGTTCAATCAGCTGTAGTGCCGGGTGGTGAAATACGCTGTAATTGGATCAGTTTTATAGATCTGTATATTGACAGTACCTAATTTGGATGTTTTTCTCTTGTTCCAGGCTTTTCATTTCTACCATCCCCTCCCCTCCCCACCCCATCCATTAATATTATTCTTTTGAAGATTCTTCGTTGTCAAGCCGCCAAAGTGGAGAGTGCGATTGCAGAAGGGGGTGCTTCTCGTTTCAGGTATGGTTTTGGGTGTAAGTAGGTACTTTGGAGGGGGTGGTTTGAAAAGACCAATCATAAAAAGAGTAAACTACTTGCGTTGGTGGGCAGAGGTTTGCCCTAGTGTATGTCTGCACCTCTCTGAAGTGGCAGAAGAGAATATCAGATTCCCTGGGACTGGAGTCGCCATGTGGGTGTTAGGAACTGCTCTCCATGGCTGAGCCATCTCTCAAGCTTCTGGGTTATTTTCTCTTAAGTCAAAGTTCACTCTTCCGTGTGGTGCAATTTCTAAAATGTAAATAGATTCCCCCTTTGAATGAGGCATAAGTGGTATAGTGATTTTTTTTTTTTTTTTTTTTTTTTTTTTTTTTGTAATAGTGCTTCTTCGGGCGGAGGAGGAAGTAGGGGTGCACCTCAGCACTATCCCAAGACTGCTGGCAACAGGTATGGTAAAACTTGTAAAGACAGTAATTTGATTAATTACAGCCTTTTCCATGTCTGACAGGATAATTGGGAAGTCATCAGTAATCCTGATGTGAATTTCATAATTTCGAATTCCAAAGTTTCTATCATTGGTATTTGTGAAGTGGTCTTTGGAATTTGCTCAGTAAGCATTTAGTTAAGTCTCAAGGTTTGATGCCTGGGTCAACAGTTTTGTTGTTGCCTGGGAATATATGTATATATTTGAAATGAAAATTCTCAGGTACTGTCCCAAGCCTCCTAGAGCAGACATTGGGAATGAGTCTCCAAGTCTACTTTAAGCTATCCAGATGATTCAGATGATTCTGGTACTGTTTGAAAAAAACAAATATTTCCAGAATTGCTTTGTTGTGTGTCTGTGGCGGGGGGGGGGGGGGGAATAAAGCCTAAGCTTTGATTTGGTGGAATTTTTTTCCCTCTGTTAAGCAAAGTTTTGGGGCAATTATATTTGTTATGAGTGGATGCTGTCTTAGGGTTTCTTTATTGTAAGTCACTTTGTTGATTTATTAAACTAGCGAGTTCCTGGGGAAAACCCCAGGGCAAAACGCTCAGAAATGGATTCCTGCACGAAGCACTAGACGAGATGACAACTCCGCAGCAAACAACTCCGCAAATGAAAAAGAACGACATGATGCAATCTTCAGGAAAGTAAGAGGGTAAGTGTCGTTCTGTTCTGAGAGAAGAAGAGATCAGTTGTCTTCTAGTATGTGTAGAGCACAATTCACCAGACATGATTCGCATTTTAGTGAATTCTGATGTCAACAATATTTTAAAGAATATTAAACTAAAGCGTATATAGCCCATTGGTATTTGGCAGTAAGGCTCATTTGTTTACAACCCACAGGCTTATGCTGCCAGCTCTATGTTGGTCTAGTGTGTAGCTCATTCAGTGAGGTTGGTAATACAACCATCTTGACTCATGGTCAGTTCTTGAGGACCCAGTGCTGTAAGTTCTAGAAAGGTTTCTTGTGAAACAGGAAAGCCCAAATATGATTCTGAAGTCTTATAATTGTGAGAAGTTTATTCTCCTTGGTTGGATAAAAAGAACATGTCTATACCAGCCTGTACAAAGTTTACATAAGTTCAAACCAGACAAAAATCTTAGTACAAGAGAAGGGAGTTACTGGAAGAAGAGGGAAATTTTTTCTTCCATCTATCACTAGATAGGTCATTGACACTCAAGGGCAAGGCCCCTATGCTCAGAAACAAATTGCAACACAGATTTATGTTTTTTTGTGATGTTTTTCCATAGAGAAAGAACATGAAGGGGGTGGGAAGAGTTGGGAGTCAGAAATAAGTATGGTTTTAAAAATATGCTATATGGAATTCTTAAAAGAATAAATTGAAAAAGAGGAACTTTTCTGTGTAGGGAGCTAGTAAAGAAAAAGTCAAGATTTAAATGCTGTTTTTCAGCTCAAAAAAAAAAAAGATAACTGTTTGTTTACTTACACTTGAAATGTGTTTTTCCTCCAGCATACTAAATAAGCTTACTCCTGAAAAGTTTGACAAGCTATGCCTTGAGCTCCTCAATGTGGGTGTAGAGTCTAAACTCATCCTTAAAGGGGTCATACTGCTGGTAAGTTAAAATGTTAGCTCAAAAGAGGGGGACAAATTTAATACCCAAGTTTTTTATACTTAACTGTTGCATTAAATTATGTCTGAGTAATGATGATAAGTAAAAACAAACACTTTTAAATGGCATCAGGATTCAAGAGGTGAACCTTGAATCATTTGCATTGCTTGACCATGCTGTCTAGAAACAGCTGTTTAGTTTTCCTGTTGTGAAAGTGATTTGGGGAATTTATGATAGTTGATAATGGATTCTGATATTTTGTTTTACATGCGAGATTATCCATAGAGTTGGCCGTGTCTCTGATTATAGTTCTGGCCATATTTTCTAGCTGGGGAGGAGGTATACAACCAGAGATGTTGAGTTTAAAAAAAACTTAAGTGGTTTTATTCTTTCAAGGCATTGTCCAAATTAATTGAGATTGTAATTTGTTGTACAAGATTCAGACTGTTTAAAGGGAGGCTGTTTTCAGTTTCCAATTCATGGTGGGTTTTTTTTTTGTTTTTTAATGACATGTAGATTGTGGACAAAGCCCTAG